TCTCTCTCTCACACACACACACACACACACACACTCTCTCTCTTTCTCTCTCTCACACACACACAGACACACTCTCTCTCTTTCTCTCTCTCACACACACACACAGACATACACTCTCTCTCTCTCTCTCTCTCTCTCTCTCTCTCTCTCACACACACACACACACAGACACTCTGTGTAATAAGTAATTACGTAAAAAGATTACCGCAAAAAGAGTATGTTCTATATAGTATGAATGTGTGTATTATGGATGTAATCCGGACATACTATATTCACCATGTTGTCATTGTCACATGGCCAGCCAGCATCAGTTGCGTTGCATCACTGCCATTCATAAATCCTCTCCCGTGGCCTCGTGGGATAGTAAAGTGTCCATCATGCACACTTCAGAATCTTGCCTTAAGTAGTAGGTCATCTGGGGACTTTTGCCTATTCTTTTATGAGTAATGTGAATCTGGACATACTGATTTTGTCAAATACGTTTTTTTGCCTACTCTATAGTAGGGAAGTATGCGATTTCATATGCAGTCTGTCTTTATGAATGGATCATTGGCTCACTCGATTTGTTCAAAGACTGATTCATTCAGGAGCAAAACACCGCAGTGTTGCTCTGAGACACACAAACGTCTTGCTCTGGCTTTGTTTGGAACTGTTTTCATTGACAAAATAGGGGAAAATATTGTGTCTAAAATGTAACTCACTCAATATTAACTTCTTGTTTGTTGAAATGTTGTATAAAATCAATAGCCTATTATTTGTGAGCACACTCACGTGCTGATATTCCTATATTATATCTTATTTTAAAAAAGCCACATAGGGATTTTTTTTGCTTTTATGAATTATGGGGGCATTCAAACTGCATTCTAATAGGCAAACATTATGATATTATCGTAGATGAGAAATATCGCACACCCCTACCCTTAGCTGTTCTAAAATCACTGTAAACCACTGCTTCTTGGGGTTATTTCTTTAATAAATGAGTTTCAAATGACCATTTTTTACCACCACACTTCAGTGCACCAAAGTTCTTACAGCGGATGGTAAAGTCGAAAAGAATAGGGTGATGATTTCTGAATGGAACGCACCCTCCCTCTCTTTCTATCTCTCTCTCTTCAAAATTGGTTTATTGGCATGACTGTAAACAATACAATATTGCCAAAGCTTGGAAATGTATGTGCATTATAACATAATGTAAATTTTAAATACATAAACAATGTAACAAATTAGTAAACATTTGATACTACGGTGTTGAACATATAAATACACACAGGCTGAGGGTCACTGTGGTAGTAGTGTCACAAGTTCAGCCTCTGTGGCTCCCTCCGATCACCACCAGAGAGAACCATCACCGGAGTACTAACCGATTCGAATCCACCGCTTCAAGCCCCGGCTTCACCTACCTCCACCGCCAGCCCTCGTTTGGCATTCCCCGAGAAGTTTGATGGCTCACCCTCAAAGTGTAAGGGTTTTTTTACTCCAATGTTCCATGTTTGTTCACCAACAACCCATGTTGTATCCCACAGACGATAGTCGCATCGCATTTGTCTGTTCGCTTCTCACTGGAAGGGC